TTCTTATACTGATTGTTGAATTAATTAATTAAATCGAGGAAAAACGTTTAAACTAATGACAACAATTTTAGGCTTAAATTAAATTAACGATAATAATTTTAGGCGAGTTTGAAAAAATGTCTTTTGACACCGCATGGTAGAAATAATGTTAAGACGGGATTATATGTTCTTTGTGTTTATTGAAAAAAGTTAAATCATTTGTACAATTTGTTTTATCAGTGCATTGAATACGGCAATTTAGAAACATAAAATTCTTTCACGAACTACTGTACTGAGCGAAGAATTAGTACGAACGAGATTGGTTACAGAACTGAATGCGATGAAAGCGGGTATAACGAGATTATCGCGATCGTTGGAATTCGCACACGCTACGGACACACGCCGCCCGCCGTGCTCGCAGAGAGGAGGAATCGTTTCTCGCAATGCGTACACGATCAGCTGTTCCGGTCGTTATAGCAAATTGCCTGGGCAAACGAGCGTCATCCGACGTCCGCGTTATACCTACGCTCTCATACTTTTCGCTTCTTCCACTTTTGTTCTTTCAAGAGACCCTCGTCCCACTGTTTCAACGAACAACGAAACGCGAACCTCTCCTTCGTTCCGTTCTAAGCTACAAAACGGAGAAATCTTACCTTTATACAGTCACTATTGAACATTATTTATTTCATTATCTCGATCCTAATTTTTATAAGATACATACATACATAATACTTACACATTGTTATAACAAATGGCAAACAAATAATTTCGATTCTCCTTTGGTAGATCTAGTGTTAAAACGGTTGAATCGAATCTAATTGAACGAACGAGAAGAAAGTCAAGAGCCGTTGCAACAAACCATTCTGAGTGCTTACTGGAACAGTAATTATTCGCTTTCCATCGAAGTGAATGACTATCACGGTCATCAGCCGGACGACGGGGTCGTTGTGTATCGAAAATGTATAGGCGTGCTGAAATTTACCGTAAGATACCGTGCCACCTGTGACGGTTGATCGGACAAGTG